AAGGGTTGCAGGATGAGGAAATTGGAGTCCCCCTTCAGTGGGTCTATCTAAAAGACTCCCAAATTGCATAACTCTTGTCTCTAAGGGGAGAAGAAAGTCCTTGAATCATGAATAGGAGATGTGAAGGAGAAGTAAAGGCAAGAGTAATTAGCATTACAAGTTCTAGACAGGGAACTAGAAAAAAGTTAGAACAGGGCAATTTTCAAATGTTTATAGGAGAGTCCTTTGGAGTTTCTTAACAAGGGCTTCTAAAAGCATCCCTTTATTGGATTCTTCCTCATTTTTCTTTTGTCTTCCAAGGCTGGACTAGTTGGCTGGGAAGAGTGGCTGGGTACTCAGGTGAGGGTCCAGTGACCCTGCTTGGCATTCCTTTAATGAATGAGCACAACCGTCAACAAGCCCAATTGTGACTGTGTTTAGCGTTCAGGCTGAGCAGATCTTTATTTCCTTTTGAAGGACTGGGCTTTCAACTTTTTAAAAACAATTTCAGCAAGCTATAATTCACCTGTCATATAGTCTATTGATTTAAAGAATAAAATTCCGTACCAAAACGTAAAATCACAGATACATCATCATAGTCAACTTAGAACATTTTTATCACCTCTTTGTCTCATTTTATTATCCTCCTTCCTGCGTCCAAAACAACAGATTTTCGGTTTTGAGGGAGGGTTTTGAGGGACTGCATATTCTGGGCTGACTTCAAACTGGTGATCCTCCTGCTGTTTCTGGGGTGCTGGGATTACAGGTGTGCACTAACACCTAGATTATACCAGAACTTCTGGGATATGCCAGAAAAGATGAAAGATATCTCAACACTAAACATACCTCCAGATGGTTGTGTTATTTCCTCTCTACTTAGAGAATTTCTTTTAAACCATTTTTTTTTAGGGATAAGGCTGGCAGCAAAGACCTCTAATCAGAGTATATTTTGATCTTCGTTTTTGAAGCTGATTTTACTTGGTCTACAGTACAGGTCTTTCGTTTCAGCACTTGAAACTGTCATTCCATTGTGTTATGCACTTTTTCTTTGTTGCTGTGACCAAATACCTGACAAGAAGCTACTTAAGGGAGGAATGATTTATTTGGGTTCATGGTCTGAGGGCACATTTTGTCATGGTGGGGAAGATATGGCAGTGGGAGTGGCTTAAGGCTGTAGCAACAGGAGCATAAGACAGCTTGTTCACATCTCAGTGGGCCAGGAAGCAGACAGAAAAATGATGATGCTCAATTTGTTTTTCCTTTTATTTAATTCAAGACTCCAGCCCATGACATTGTACGCAGCCTGCTGCAATTCTTAATCTAGACAAGTTGGCAGTTGAAATGAAACACTCAAGCTGTAGTTTTCTCACTGCTATAGTTTTTGATGATAAATCTGCTGAATTTGTATTTTTTGTTCTCTAGTGGTCAGGTGTCAGTTTCCTGTCAGTTCATTTCAAGATTTATTTTTTAGCTTGGTTTGATGGTGAGTACCTGTGATCCCAATACGTAGGAGAGCGAGGGTGAAGGATTGTGAGTCTGAGTCCAGCCCTGGATAGATACTGAGTTCTAAACGGCATAACAAGACTGTCTCCACAAATAAAGTAAATTATATTTTGCCTTTGGTTTTTGGAAATTTTACTGTGAGTCTTGGCATGTATTTCTTTGTTTACCCTGTTTGAGACTTGATTAATGCCTTTAGTCTGTAGCTTATATCTCTTTTTGTCATATTTAGAAGTTTCTGTTTTTTACAGGATTTCAGGGGAGTTTTAAATGAAATGATATGCAATACTAATAATAGAAAGTATCTTTTCGGTATTTATGGTATACAAGTTGTTCATTGTTTTATTTAGTAGCTGTAGAATGTTGCTTTACCTGTTGCTAGTTGTTCAGTTCAAAGAGAACTAGATTAAAGGGTCCTTTCTACTTAATAGCAGAGACAAGTTTCAATGTTTTTATTTCAGCTGAATATCTTGAGAATTCTTTTTTTTTTTCTTTTTGAGATAGGGTCTCCTACTTGTAGCCCCAGAACTCACAATGAACCATCTGCCTTTGCCTCCCAAGTACTGGGATTAAAGGCATGTGCCACCACGACCAGCTTTGAAAATTATTTTCACCGGTAAAGGATACAATGAATTTTTTATTATTACTAATAGATATGAAATCTGTGTATTAGTTTTTTGTGGTTGTTATACTGTAACAGATGATGCATAAATTCTCTCAAAATAATAAAAATTTACTGTCTTTCACTATTGGGGACTGGATTTTGAAGTCAGTATCAGTGAACTGAAACCAAAGTTTTGGCAGGACAGTACTTTCAGAAGTTCAAGGAAAGAATTAGTTGTTGCCTCTTCCCTCTTTCTGGTAGTTTCTGACATTTCTTTTAAAAATTATTTATTATTTTATGTATATTTATGTGTATTGCCTGCCTGCATGTATGTAAGTGCACCTGTGTTGTACAGTACTGGTGGAGGTCAAAAGAGACTGTTGGATTCCCCTAGAACTGGAGTTATAGATGGTTGTTAGCTACTCAGTGGATGCTGGGAGTCAAACCCAGATCCTCTACAAGAGTAGTCAGTGCTCTTAACTACTAAGCTATCTCTCCAACCCCATTCTGACATTTATCTTTTTTTTTTTTTGGTCTTTTTGAGACAGGTCTCCCTATAGCCCCAGCTGGCCTGGAACTCACAATGTAGACCAGGCTGGCCTTGAACTCACAGAGATCCACCTGCCTTTGCCTCCCAAGTGCTGGGATTAAAGGTGTGCACCACCATGCCCAGCTGTATTCTAACATTTCTTAATCTGTGACTGCATCACTTATGTCTTTAAGGTGAGAAAGCAAATTCCTTTCTGCTTTGTCTTTGGAGTCTTTCTGTTTATATGGCCTAGATTACATTCTGTCTTCTTAAAGAAATATGACTGCATATAGGACATACCCATATAATCCAGGGCAGTGCCCCCATTTTAAGCTTTTTTAAAAAATGTATTTTAGTTATTATTTTATTTTATGTGTATTAGTGTATTTCCTGCATGCATGTATGTGCACCTGTGTTGTACAGTGCCAGTGGAGGTCAGAAGAGGGCATCAAATCCACTGGAACTGGAGTTACAGACAGTTGTTAGCCACCATGTGGGTGCTGGGAATCAAACCTGGGACATCTGTAAGAGCAGCCAGTGCTCTTAACCTTGGAGCCATCTCTCCAACTCCCCATTTTAAGACTGTTTTATTTTACTTGATTTCCATGTATATTTATATGTATAGCGTCTGTGGATTAGGATAGGTAGCATTTTTGGAGCATTATTATTTTAAATTTATTTTTATTTTATGTGAATGAGTGTATTGCCTACATGTAGGTAAGTGCACCAGCATTGTCCCGTGCCCGTGGAAGTCAGAAGAGACTATCCCCTGGAACTGGTGTTATAGATGGTTGTTAGCCACAATGTGAGTGCTGGGAATTGAATCTGGGTCCTTTTTAAGAGCAGCCAGTGTTCCTAACTGCTGAGCCATCTCTCTAGTCCCTGGAGCATCATTATTTTGTTTGTTACAATCTGGTCATATATGTTTGCTAGGATAATTGCCAGTAACAACAAATAAAATAAGAGCAGGTTTAGAAATTTAGCAGTACAAATTTCAAAGATAGTAACAATCATTCCACTGAGTACTTTGAAAACTGTGAAGTATAACAAAACTTTTACTTTGCCTTAATTTGCTGTCGCTTTGATAAAACCCTTTGCCCAAAACAACTTGGGGAAGAAAGGGTTTATTGCATTTTATGCTTCTAGTGACAGTCCATTATTGAGGGAAGTGAGGACAGGAACTCAAGGAGGAACCTGGAGGCTGTAACTAAAGCAGAGATCCTAGAGGAATGCTGCTTACTGGCTTACTTAACTACCTTTCTTATATAATCCAGGCCCATCTGCCCAGGGAGGGCACTGCCCACAGTGGGCTGGGCTCTCCTGCATCAATTAGCAATTAAAAAAAAAAAAAGCCTCACAGATATGGTGAAGGCCAGTCCATTAGAGAAAATTCCTCAATTGAAGTTCCTTCTTCCCAGGTGGCTCCAGTTTGTGTCAGGTTGACAAAAACTAACCAACACAATTGACCCTTGTCACCTTGACACACTACACATCACTATTAAACCATAACCTTTTCTTGCTTATCCTCAAGATCTCATGTTAATATCATAATATAAAACATAGTCTAGCTTGTAAAAGTCCAATAGTCTTTAAAAAGTTCCAATGGCTTAAAAGTTCAAGTTCTTTTAAAAGTCGTCTCTCAACTTTGGGCTCCTGAAAAATAAAAAATAAGTTAAATACTTTATTATATCAAAAGGGAATAATCAGGCACACTTAATAAGCAAAACCAAGATCCAACAATGTAGCTCTCAAGTTCGACATCTGAGATTCTGTCATAATCTTCTGGCTTCAAAGGGGCTGGGCAGCTCCCTTTCTCTTGTTTAGCTGTCCACAGCACACACAGCTTGTCTTATAGGCTCAGGTCAGCTCCACTCTGCACCTGCTGCTGCCCTTGGTGGTCATCTTACAGTCCTGGCATCTCTAAGTATTCTGGGGTGTTCACTGCAACTGAGGCTATACCTTCACCAATGGACTCTCCTGGCCTCTCATGGTGCCAAGACTCAGCTCTTCTCCACAAGACCTTCATGTTTTCAAAATCAGTACTATAAGGGAACTTTTATACATTACCAAGTTTGGCTTCTAGCTTGAGATGCAGCCTTAGGCCCCTCTGAACCACAGCTTCTGTGTGACCTTGAGGAAATACTTCCCAGAAGTTTCACCTCAGTGATGCTGGTCTCTTCTTAATGACAGCTGATTTTTGTAGCCCCAGCTAGCCAGTATTGATTATCCCAGTAATGCAAAGGTTTCACTTCAGTGGTTCTGGTCTCTTGTTAAACTACAACTGATTCTTCAGCTCCACCTGACCAGAAACTACAGATTCTCAATTCAAAATATCACAAGAGCAGCCCTGATCATCTCTGCTTCCTTCTTAAATTTCAGAAGTGAGGCTCTGTCATCTGCTTCTCTCCACATTCCTATTTTCCAAACTCCCATAGCAGCTCATTGAGCTCTAAGCACTCAACAGCCTTTCCAGCTCATAATTCCAAATACTTCCATATTCCTTCCAAAAACAACATGTCAGGTCCACCAGCAATATCCCATGATCCTGGTACCAATTTGTGTTCTAGTTTGTTGTCATTTGCTGTGATAAAACACTGACCAACAACTTGGGAAGGAAAGGGGTTATTGCATCTTACAGTTGTGACAGTCTATCATTGAGGGAAGTCAGGGCAAGAACTCAAGGAGGAACCTAGAGGCAGAAACTAGAGCAGAGACCCTGGAAGAATGCTGCTTACTGGCTTGCTCCCTCAGGCTTGCTCAGCAACTTTTTTTATACAGTCCAGTGGGCTGGGCCTTCCTGTGTCAGTCATTAAGACAATCTCTCACAGTTATAGCCATGGGCCAATCTGACCTGGGAAATTCCTCAATTAAGGTACCCTCTACCCAGATGACTCTAGGTTTGTGTCAAGTTTACCATAAAAACTAACCAGGGCAGGAATATGTTGTGATATCTTAGTGCATATGCATGGATATCTGTTGAAATTTTAGAAAAAACTAGGTTAAAACATTGTTAATTTTTTTTCTTTGCTTAGAGTTTTAAAATTCTTATATTCACCTCTTCCTTTCTGCCTCTTTATAAAGGTGCCCCTTACTGAAGCAGTAGAGCCTGTGGATTTGGAAGATTACCTCATTACTCACCCTTTAGCTGTGGATTCTGGACCTCTAAGGGATTTGATTGAATTTCCTCCAGATGATATTGAAGTTGTTTATAGTCCTAGGGATTGCAGAACCCTTGTTTCAGCTGTCCCTGAAGAAAGGTAAGGAGACATTAACCTATTTTTGTTTTTGTTTATTATTTAATATCTTTATATATATATGAGTGTATTGCCTTCATGTATGTAAGTGCACCCATGTTTGTGGCATGCCTACAGAGCTCAGAAGAGGGTGTTGAATCCCCTGGAACTGAAGTTATGAGTAGTTGTTAGTTGCCATGTGGGTACTGGGAATTAAACCCAGGTCCTCTACAAGAGCAGACAGTGCTCTTAACTGCTGAGCCATCTCTGTAGCCCCATATTTTTGGTTTTAGGGTAACTATAGAAAGATTATTTTTCAATATTTTTAAGAAGTCTTATGATAAAGAACTGAAACAAATTTATAAAAGTCAGTGCTGGACATTCCTCTCTTGGGACTCCTTCCATTCTTGGGAGACTTTCTCACTTCCTATGAAATCTGTGTTTGCTCTGCTCAAAATTAAAGTCATTGCTTTCCTGTGTAAATTATATATATATATTTTTTAAATAGTGAAATGGATCCACATGTTAGAGATTGTATAAGAAGTTACACAGAAGATTGGGCAATTGTCATCAGAAAGTAAGTTACTTGTTTATTATAACATTTTAAAATACTGAGTATAATTTTTTTCAATGTATATTTGAGTATAAGTTTTAATGTGTTGTTAGATTAATAAAAATTGTGAGACTTGAAAATTCATTTAAACAAAGTCATCAAAGAAGCAAAAGAAGAATCTGATATAGAAAAACATTACTTTTTGGAGTTCTATAATTAAATTACTTCTGCTTATTTTCCTTCTAAAATAAGTTTTTAAGCTAATATTTTTTTAAATATTTATTATTTAAAAAAAATTTTTATGTGTGTGAATGTATTGCCTGCATGTTGTAAGTGCACCTGTGTTGTGCAGTGCCCATGGAGGTCAGAAGAGGTTGTCAGATCCTCTGGAAGTGGAGTTACTGATGGTTGTTAGCCACCATATGAGTGCTGGCATTTGAACCTGGGTCTTCTGAGCAGTCAGTGCTCTAACCACTGAACCATCTCTCTAGCTCCCAATATTTCTATATTGTTAAATTGTTATGAACTGATAGTGTAATAATAATTTTGTAGTTTTATTCTTTCAGAAAATCATGGATAGATAGCACTGAATATTTTTTTTCTCAGAAAGATGCAGCTTAGTAAAACTTAAATAACCCAGTTAAGTTTAATAGCCAATTTCCAGATTCAATTATTTGACAGGTCTTTTTTTGTTGTTTTTTGTTTTTTTAAAAAAAGGTTTCCCTATGTGGTGCAGGCTAACTTCAAACTTGTGATCATCCTTCCTCTGCTTTCAGAGTGCTGGGATTTTAGGTGTGTACCACCACAGCTGTGTTCTGTGCAGTTTCTTAACTGTCTAAATACTTGTAGGTCCTTGACTTTTACTTCATCTAGTCAGTTAAATATTTGTAGAAAATAGTGTTTTTTCTATAATGTAATTCTAGTAGACTATTTTGGAAATATTAATTCAGATTAAAAAATAAAATACAACACTTTTTCTTGCCAATTAACATGCATAATGAAGAAGGGTCTTCATTCTGGAAATTTTTATCTTATTTTTTTTCTAAAGGAAATATAATAACTAGTAGTGATAAATTCTTTTAGGGCCTAATTTTCACTAAAATCTGTGCCAAATAGCACTAGCAAAAGTAATATATCCATTGCTTAGTGTTTGCCTTCATGGCTACTGTCTTACTTTATTGTGCTTAATAAAGTGCTAAATCTCCTTCTGGTGGGTGGTACTGATCAGCTTTTTTGTTTGAATGTGACCTAATAGAAGCATAGTTTACTGCCCTTTACCTGGAAGACCCATTTTTATGAACTTTCAGTTTGGTAAGTGTTGTCGTAGCTAGACTTTTGACATAACTAGAGAAATACAATGTTCTTGTTAGAAAATTCAAAACTCTTAGCTGGGCGTGGTGTCACACGCCTTTAGTCCCAGCACTTGGGAGGCAGAGGCAGGTGGATCTCTGTGAGTTCGAGGCCAACCTGGTCTACATATCAAGTTCTAGGCTAGCTGGCGCTAGAGGGAGACCCTGTCTCAAAAAGACCAAAAAAGGAAAAGAAAAAAAAAAAGAAAGAAAAGAAAATTCAAAAATCCTTTCTTCGGTGCATATGGGTTTGAAACCTGTAATCAAAAAAATAAAGAGGTTAGTTATTAACTCAGACTCATGGCATCTCATCATTGATTGAGGCAGGAGGGGAAGCGTATTTACGTTAGTGGGCAATTATCATGTGCAGGGTGTTTTATTGGGTACTTCATTCTCATATTATTCATTGTTTGAGTAGATAAGGTAGCTTAGACTCAAGGCAGTTAAGCAATTTCTCTGAGGTTCCAGAAGCCAAAAAATGAGTTGGTGAGGATTAGAATCTGGGGGCAACAGATTCTAAAGCTTATAGTTTTTCTGTCATACTAAATACTGTTTATTATGTGTATTGATAAGTACGAGACAAACAGGGTCCTTTTGGTGAATTATAAGTTGTTGGTTTTTCTAAAAGATGGAAGGTAGGTGTGATATGAATGTCATAAAAAACACAGTGCAGATAATCAAGGAGATACTGTTGTGTGAACTTCCCTGAGTAGACATGAACAACAGTCTATTTACCCTGGATGAGACATCGATAATATATCAAACAATTCCACACAACTTGAACTTGGTTAACCAGTGAGTTTATTGGAGTTATTTAGAGGAGCATGAATGAGAGAAAGGAGGCTGGATCACTGAAAAGCCCATTCCAGCATGACTGACAGGTCATGAAAGCTACATCCCTGGAGCTCCCTGCCCATTTTGCAGTTGTTTCCTGCTTTATAACCTTAGGGTGGGGCCTTCTGAATCTTGGACTTCTCTGAGCTTCCCAAACCTTATAAATTTCATTAGATATGAACTTGCTTTCTTCCCTCCTGAGGGAATGTTTCAATAAAATAGTCTCACAACAAATGATATATGCAAAAGCATCAGTAGAGCATTGAAGTTAGAAGAAATGAGTACAGGACCTTGAAAAGGAGCTTTAAGCAAGTGCTGGACATATGGTTACTTTAAAGCTCTGCTCTGGGTTTGCATAGTGATAGTACAACTGCCTTTTAAAAGAAACAGTAATTAAGTGGGCTTTGCCTAACAGCATGATCTGCCCCTTATAACCAGTGGACATAGACTGGAATAGATAGTTTAATATAGATGTGGGGGATATGAATTCAGAAATGAATATTAAACCCAGAGTTGACAAATATTTTACAAAAACCAGCAACTTGTAAGAGAATTATCAAACTATAAATAAATGAATTAATAATTTCAGAAATGGAAATAGAGCACAAATTACAACCCTGTAAATGTTATAAATTCAGTATGTTAGTATTAGTATATATAATAAATGTGAAAATATGTAGCCATTCAGCAGTATTAAAAACTTAATGGATAGATTAATTGCAGAATAGATGTGGCTAAAGAGTAAAGTGCGCTATAAAATGAAGCCATAAAAATTCTTCCATAATTCAGTAAAAAATGATAAAGGGACAGAAAGTACTTTAAAAAACTTCATTTAACAAATACTTGTGAGGATGTCTAATGTACCAGACACCATACTAAACACTGAGGGCATTAAAATGAATTAAATCAGCTATCTACCCTCATGGAGTTTATGTTCTAGAAGTAGATTGTTAACAGTGACTAAACACAGATACATGTTTAATAGCTGTGGTAAAGAGAAATCTTAAGACAAAAATTAGGATGACAGGAACATAGAGGGTCAAGAAGAGGGATACATTTTTCTATTTTATGTAGTAATCATAAGGGGCCTTACTAGTAAGATAATTTTGGTAGAGACCTCCAGGAAGTGGGGGAGTGAGTTGTATAGATACTTGAGGAAGATAGTTAAGCCAAGGAAAAGATACATGTCAAGGCTCCATAGAAGAAGTTGTGAGTTATTTTGAAGGTATGGTGAAGAGGTCAGTGTGGCTGGAGCAAAACAAATGAGTGTTAGAATGCCAAGAGATTAGAGAAATAGTGGTGTGTATGGTTGGGTGGTCAACCATGTAGAGCTTTACTACAGCAAATGACTGAAGGAAGGATGCTACTATGATTATGAATGATTCATCTCAGCTCTTATGATTTCATATGTTAAATTTTTAGGGTGGAATGCAATACTTCTGACTTGGCAGAAGAGCATACATATTTAACATTCCAATTTAAAGCATTTGGAACATTTCATGAAAGATTAAGATAACCTGATTCTCAATAATACCTTTTGTGTTATTATGTTGAGTTTATTTTTGTTCTTCAATAGAAAAATTCTTTCTTTTATTGTGCAGTTATGCTAATATCATGTAGCTGCTATTTAATAGTTTTAGCAATAAGAAAAAATGTAATTAATATTGAATGTGATTGTTCCCTATTTCATCGATTAGCTGATAGCATGAATCATATCTCCTAGTAATTAAAGTAGCTCTCTAACTTTGATTCTATGAAGTGTTGAATTGTCAAGAATAATTGATGGAGTTTTTCTTTTTTGTCTGTTTGTTTTTGAGACAGGGTCTCAGTATGTAGTCCTAACTCTTCTGGATCTTACGTAGATCAGGTCGATCTCAAACTCAGAGATCTGCCTGTCTGCCTGTCTCTGCCTCCTAAGTTCTGGGATTACAGGCATGCGCTACCACATCTGGCTAGAATAATTGGTTTTTTTGTTGTTGTTGTTGTTGTTTTTAACTTAAAAAAATTATTTTTGTTTTATGTGTATGCATGTATTGCCTGCATGTAAGTAAGTGCATCCGTGTCGTGCAGTGCCCACAGAGGTCAGAAGAGGCTGTCAGATCCCCTGGGACTGGAGTTACAGATAGTTGTTAGCTGCCATGTGGGTGCTGGGATTCAAACAACCAGTGTTCTTAACCACTGAGCCATCTCTCCAGTCCCAGAATAATTGTTTTTTGATCACTTCTTGGTTATTCGGTTAAATTTTTGTTTTTATATTTTATTTATTGTATTTTATGTGCACGAGAATATTGACTGCATCTGTATAAATGCACGTGTCATGCAATGCCCCAGGAGGTCAGAAGAGGGCGTTGAATCTGTTAGAACTGGAGTTATGGATGATTGTTAGCTATCATGTGGGTGCTAGGAATTGAACCTAGGTCTTCTGCAAGAACAATCAGTACTCTTAACCTCTGAGCCATTTCTCCAACCCTTGGTGTATTGGGTTTTTATATGTTATCAGAGAAGTTTATGTTATTAAAATTTTATATTATTATTATTAATGTAATAAATATTTTCTGTTTTATTTTATTCTTTAACGTGGAGTCCCAGTTTTGTTTTTTGTTGTTTTTTTTTAACTATGTCTGAATTGAAAGTACAATTTGAATTATACATATGTGGTTGGCATGGGAAGAAGAAAAATATATTGTAGAAACTCATAATCTGTTCTTTAGTGGTATTAAAGGAACTTTGCAAATTTTAAAAAATTTAAGATTAAAGTTTAAAAATTCATGTTTAACACACTCAACTGATAGAATAAATTCTAGTCTTGTTATGTCGATAAATAACAAAGAAAACAGTTGGCTTATTACAAGATGATGCTCAGAAAGAGAAAGTTTTAAGCAATTAATATTTATTTTATCTTGAATAGATATCATAAACTGGGAACAGGATTTAATCCTAATACATTGGATAAGCAGAAAGAAAGACAAAAGGGTTTGCCTAAACAAGTCTTTGAATCTGATGAAGCTCCAGATGGCAACAACTACCAGGATGAGCAAGTAATACTTTTATCCTAAGTGACAATAAGGAAGTATTTTTAATTAATTAATTAATATGTTAATGTTCATAATTTAATGTTTTATATAACAGGATGATCTTAAAAGACGCTCAATGTCAATAGATGATACTCCAAGGGGTAGCTGGGCCTGCAGTATCTTTGACTTGAAAAATTCACTTCCTGATGCTTTGCTTCCTAATTTACTTGATCGAACGCCAAATGAAGAAATAGACCATCAGAATGATGATCAAAGGAAATCAAACCGTCACAAGGAACTTTTTGCTTTGCATCCATCACCAGATGAGGTATTGATTTTATATAAAAAAAGCAAATGAGGCCAGGCATGGTGGTATATTCCTTAATCTGAACTACCTGGGAGGCAGATCTCTGTGAGATCAAGGCCACCCTGGTCTACGTAGAGAGTTTCAGGCCAGTTGAGGCTAGGGGGAAACCCTGTCTCAAAAAACAACCCCCCTACCCACAAAAACATGCTAGATCTTTTGGGAACATGATTTATGTGTAATATTACAGCAACATAAAAAGCATAACCATAAATTTTATAAATTGAGTGTGCTTTTGTATGTGTGTGTGTACAAGTGTATTGCTTGTATATACATATGTAAGTGCACCTATCTCATGCAGTGCCCACAGAGGTCAGAAGAGAGTGTCAGTCTCTTGGAACTGGAGTTACAGACAGTTGTTAGCTGACATAAGGGTGCTAGGAATTGAACCTGGGTCCTGCAAGAGCAGCCAGTGCTCTTAACCAGTGAGCCATCTCTCCAGCCCCCTTAAATATGGTTTTGACACTAGTGAATTTATTTTCAATGAAGAACTTTTTTGAATTGAGTGTACTTGAGCTCTAAGGGCTTCTGTTTATGGACAAATATGTCATTCTTTTCTGTGTTTAATTACGAAAACCAAAAGTATTAGAATATTTGACGTTCTTAAAAATAAATGGAAAAGCATTGAAATATGATAAACATTCATTTTGGCATTACTTCTCCATTTGTAGGAAGAACCTATAGAACGACTTAGTGTTCCTGATGTACCCAAAGAACATTTTGGTCAAAGACTTCTTGTAAAATGTTTATCACTCAAGTGAGTATTTCTTTTACTGTAAAACTTCTATTCTCATTATGTATTAAGTCAGCAAATATTTATTACATTTAGTGTGTATAAGTTTTGGTTTTTAAACATAAAGATATAAAATAAATTGTTATCTTTTCATAAAATGGGAGTTATATGCCAGAATTAAAAATGGTAAGATTTGGTGCTGGAGAGATGGCTCAGTGGTTAAGAACACTAGTTGTTCTTGCAGAAGACCTGGGTTCAAACCGCAGCACCCACATGGCAGCTAACAACTGTTGGTAAGTCCAGTTCCAGGGGATCTGACGGCCTTTTCTGTCCTCTGAGGGCATTGCACGATGCGGGTGCACTTACCTACATGCAGGCAGTACACTCATACACATAAAATGAAAAAATAATAAATAAAATATCTTTAAAAAATGGTAATATTTGGAACTGAAGAGATGACTCAGTGGTTAAGAGTACCTGCTGTGCTTCCAGAGGACCCAGGTTTGATACCCCACACCTACTTGGTGGCAAACAATCCTTCGTAACTCCATTTCCAGGGGAATCCAGCACCTCTTCTGATAAATATTAAGTTAAAAAAGAGATCACTTAATATTATTTTGCTCTTCATAAAAAAAATTTACCATGTACATTTTTTATAAAGAAAAAGAGCTAGATAGATTAGCCACTAAACTGTTAATCACAGTTCTTCCTACTTGTTGAGTTTTCAGATGCTCATTTTCTCTGAATATTTCTTGTGTATTTTTAAAGCTTTTTTCATTGAATATTTGATTTATAGCCTAAAAAAGAAAATATTTTTAAACTTTATTTCAAAATGAACATGTCTAAATAAATAAGTAACCTAGTTACAGGTTATAAAGTAAGTAGTGCCAGAAATGGGTAGAACATTCTGTGAGTCTTTTAAGAAATTTAGATTAATTGTTGGGTCAATAAGAAGGGTTTCATGAGATAGTAGTGACTGTGTGAAACTGTGAAAGATATGCAAAGTGTTTATTAAGAGAAAGGTAATGCAAGGGCACAGATTTGGAGACTGAAAGTATTGAGATAATAGATTTTGAAATCAGAATTTCCAGATTTTTTTTTTTTTTTTTTTCTTGAGATAAGAGTCTCAGTATGTAGTCCTGGCTGGTCTGAAACTCCTATATAGAACAGGCTGGCCTTTAATTCATAGAGATTTACCTGCCTCTGCCTCCTAAGTACGCCATCCCACCTGGCCTCTTTTTTTGTTGCTGTTATTTTTGAGACAGGGTCTCCCTGTAGCCCCAGCTGGCCTGGAACTCACTAGGTATGCCAGGCTGGCCTCGATACTCACAGAGATCTGCCTGCCTCTGCCTCCCAAGTGCTGGGATTATAGGCGTGTGCCACCATGCATGGGACCTGGCCTCTTTTTAAAAAATTCATTTTATTTTTAATTTTATGTGTGTTTGTGTGTCTGTGTGTGGTTGTGTGCATGTGAGCGTAGGTGCCCTCAGAGACCAGAAGAGGCGTTTGGATCCTCTAGAGCTGGAATTACAGTCCGTTTTGAGCTGTAAACAGAACTTTGATCTTTTGCAGAGCAAGTGCTCTCTCTAGCCCCTGGTCTGTCTTTTGTATGTATTTTGAAATTAGTTCATCTTTTTTCTTCATCAAGGTTTGAGATAGAAATTGAGCCCATTTTTGCAAGTTTGGCTTTATATGATGTCAAAGAAAAGAAAAAGGTAAGTTGCTGGGATTTAGCTGCTCATCTTAATCATAGGTTTCATAAATGATTATGATTAGTTGTTTCATAAAAAATGTGATTCTTTGTACGTTTAGACATGAATCATTGAAAAGGAAATAAAAACTTAACTTTTTAAGACTAGTTATGTATTTTCTTATTATAAAATACTTTTGTTGAAACCTGGTTTTTATTTCATTGAAAAAGTTCCAAAAGCAAGTAATAAAAGCTACTTTTCTTTTAAGAAATAGTCAAAATAATACAACTATTTTTGCAAACAGCTTGTGAAAAGATAACTGTGACTGAAATTTTATTGCTATAATTTTCAGCTTCTTAGTATCTAAAAGATACTTTATATGTATTACTACATTTTTATTATATGTATGAATTTTCAAGGGCTGTATCAGACAGCTTTTTTTCCTTCTTTCTTCCCTTTCCTCTCCTCCTCCCTTCTCTTCTTTTTGAGGTCCTGGGGATCAAGCAAAGGGCCCTGAACATGTGGAACCTAGGCCCTACCACTGGTCCCCGTCTTCAGTCCAGCATTTCTTTTATTTTTTTTAAATTAAATTAAATTTAATTTTTAATACATTTTATTTATTATTTTTATGTGTATGCACGTATTACCTACATGTAAGTGCACCCATGTCGGGCAGTGGCTGCAGAGGACAGAAACTGGAGTTACAGACAGTTGTTAGCTGCCATGTGGGTGCTGGGATTTGAACTTGGGTCTTCTGCAAGAACAGTCAGTGTTCTTAACCACTGTGCCATCTCTCCAGCCCCAGCATTTCTTGTTTTAATATTCCAAACATACTATGTATTAGAAACTTGAAAGTGTCTTCATTATCAACATATGGGCTATGATGGATTCTGTAGGAGAACTTTGCTTTAGTAGCTTTATTCACTAAATTGAAATTGCTCAGATAACATTAATAGAAAGTTTTAATAACTCAAGTTGTAGTCATTCTTCTCAATATTGCCTTACATCCTTCGATTAGAAGCTACATTTTCATTTTTAACCAAAGAACTTGAGGTATGACTCTTTAGAAAATGTTTCCGATGTTATAAGCCTGAGTAGCTTATGCGTTTTTTTTTTGTTTGTTTGTTTTTTATTATTTAGATAGGTAGATAGGTCTCAGTGAAGTATAAGATCAACCATGAGTTGGAGTATAATAATTTACTATTTGTAACATTTCAAGACTGATTATGTATGATTTTATGCATTTCAAAAATTTTGTACCATTTAAAAATTTAATATCTGAATTTTTCAGATTTCAGAAAACTTTTATTTTGACCTTAATTCAGAACAGATGAAGGGGTTGTTACGTCCACATGTACCACCGGCAGCCATTACCACCCTGGCAAGATCAGCCATTTTTTCTATAACTTATCCTTCCCAAGATGTCTTCCTTGTGATAAAGGTGAGAATAATCTTCAATGTACATGGTTACAGTTTAGCATCTGCATTCCTGTCTTTGTCAGTATTGCAAACCTTTCAAGGGCAAAGATTTATCTTTTGTTATTTTTGCATCTTGCTATTTTGTGACACCACATCAAACATTTGCTGTAGTTACTACCTAAGTTTTATTGAATGGAGAATAGTTAATCAGGGTTCTATAGTAAAACAGATGGATATGTCTGAAGAGATTACCTAATAGGACTGTAGAGTTGACAAGTCTCTAATTTATAGGGCAAGCCGTCAGACTTTACAGGTAAGAGTTAGTTGATTCTGTAGTCATGAGTTCAAAGTCCACAGGACAGCTGACTGGAAACTCAGATGAGGTGTCTATGTTACAGACTTGAGAAGGATTCCTTCTTTAGGAAAAAAGTCTTTGCTCTTAAGTCCTTCTACTGACTGGATGGGCTCACCCACACAATTGATAGTAATCTACTGAAGGACTACTGTTTTGAATGTTAATCATCTCTACAAAACACTTCTACAAGTAAAGTAATGTTTGACTGAATTACTGGATATCCAAATCTAGTCAAATTAACCATCTTAGTAACTGTATGGTTATTATATCACTCAGTTTCTAAGTTATCTAAGTACTGAAAGCTAAATCTTTGTGGTCAAGGAACTTTATGATTTGATTATCAACTGTAATTCTAGCACTTAAAAGGTAGAGTCAGGAGGATTGAAAGTTTGAGGCCAGTCTGGACTACCTAACAAGACCCTGACTCATATAAAAATAAAATGAAGATAACAACTGCAAAAAACATCCCTAAGTTACCAAAAAAGTAATTATAAATTCTGAAGACTAATAAGACCTAGTGATGCAGGCCTCTAATCCCAACTGTTTGGTAGGCTGAGGCAGGAGGATTGCAAGTTCAAGGTCAGCTTGGGCTACAAGTGAGTTTAAGGCCAGCTTGGGCAGTTTAATGAGACCCTGTCTCAAAATAAAAAGTAAAAAGAGGTCTGGGTTGTAGTTCATTGGTAGAGCACTTGCCTAGCATACATCTGGCCCTAAGTTCAGTCTCCAGCACTGAAAAAAAATCATACAAATAATGGCTATCCTACTTATCTTAGTTTAACCTGAAGAATAATTAGAGCCAGTAGATGGCTTGGTGGGAAAAGGTACTCACCTGTCTACCTGAGTTTGTACTCTGGAACTAGCATGATGGAAGGAGAGACCCAACTCTAGCAAGTTGTCCTCTGATCTCTGCATGTGCCCCCGACATGCATGTATGCATGCCCTCTTTACACAAAATAAATAAATAGATGAAGAATTTGGTTACCTTAGTCTTGGTTAAATTGACCTTGACTTGAAAGTAACCTAAAATATATTCTTTAATTACTTTATTATATAAAATTATCATAAAGAGCTAATGAATTTTTTAATAAGACTTTAAAATGAATTGTCATAAATTAAGTCCTTTTACTCACAGGAATTAAGCCCCAATTTGTTGGGTGCATTCCTATGAATTCAGATTAAAATTAATCATAGTTAAAATGAACAGTCAATGAAGAGTCCTAGTCCTGTAGAAATCAACTTAAAAGAGTTAAGTTCTAGAAATGAATACATATTACAAGTACACAGTTAATTTACATGAGGAGAAATGGTAAGATTTTATAACATAGAATTTGTTGGAGGGAATAAGCTGGTAAAGTGAAGATGATATATTGGTTGCTTGAAAATGAAATAATTTGGTGATAAGATTTGGTTGTCAGAGGGAATGAATAGCTTTTACAGGGTTAAGAATAAAAACCTTCAGGGGCTGGAGAGATGGTACAACAGTTAAGAGCACCGTGCAGAGGACCCAAGTTCAGTTCCCAGCTCCCACATGGTGGCTAACAACTGTCTGATAACTCCAGTTCCAGGAGATCTAACACCCTCTTCTGACCTCTGGTCATTGCGTGACATGGGTGCACTTACATACATGCAGGCAAATCACTCATACACATAAAATAAACAGTTGCTTAAAAAAAGATGTTTCATTTATTCCTATCTTGTCTGCAACTTTAAACTTATTCTCTGTAAGACAAATTAATCCATTGCTTTTGTATACAGTGTCACTCAAATTCTCAGGACTTAGACTGTTTGCAGTCAGATTGTTTGCCAGATTATTATGCAAATAGACTCTAGCCCAGTTCCCAGTAGGGCCTTTGTCTTCTCTTGTCATTCTGACCTTCCTAACCCCCACCAGAATGACCCATTAAGCTTTGCTTACAGTGCTCTAGGCCTTTTCTAGCCTGCATCACCAAATTCTTCCACATTTCTCCTATAGACCAGTCCCAAAGTTCTATGAACCACACGATCAAGTTTGTCACAGTAACAGCCTCATTTTTGGTACCAATTTTCTGCATTACTTTTGTTGCTTTTACCAAATACGAGACAAGAGGCAGCTTAAGGAAGGAAAATTGTATTTTGGTTTACAGTGTAGAGGGATATAGTCCATCATGGAAGGGAAGGTATGGTGTCACATGGCACCATGATGACAGGAGTTTGCTGCTGGGATTCCTTTTCTGCTCATACTTTTGCAGAATTGGAACCTGAGAGCAAGACAGGAAGAGCAGGTGGACTGTAAAACCTCAGTGTCTGCTCCCAGGGACCCACTTCCTCTTGTGAAACTCCACTGCTGCCTCTTAAATGTTCTACAATCTTCCAGAACCGCTCCATCAGCTGGGGACCAAGTGTTCAAAGAAATGAATCTCTTGGGGTCACTTTTACATTTAAATCATAAAATATTTTGCTTATTTGTTAATTGGAGTTTTTGTCATCATTGTTGTTTTAAGAGTTCTTCATACATTTGGATTAGTAAGTTGTAGTTAGATATATATTTTGCAAATAATTTTATCACATTCTTAAGGTTGCTGTTTCATTTTGTTTATTTTGTCCTTTAATGTAGTAAGTGTAAATTTCAGTAATGTATGTTTGTTTTTATATATTCTATACTGTCATGTTCAAGAAAAAACTCTTTTCCAAGTCCCTGAGGCACTTCCATTATGGTCCCCCCCCCCCCCCCC